AAGTCATGTATCAGAGGCTCCAATATAGTGTCACAGATCTAATTTGATTTCTAAATGTTGTTTTATATTGATAGTGATATCACATACATGCTTAGTGACATTCAACTCCAAAATACTCTTCTTACAGCACCCATATAGAAAGGCTAGAAACATCTTTAGATTGGGAACTTGTGAGTTAACTCCTACACTATTGCCACACTCAACGGTAGCATTTTCAAAAACTCCAGCAAGACAAAAATTCATTGCCACGGTCCCTGTTCCACTAGGAAAGGGGTGCCTCTTACAGGCGTTGTTTAACATGTAAGCTGTAAGGTTAAGGCACAAGCATACAATCTCTTGTCAGTGATCATCCATCTGCCAAAGAAAACACAGATGAAAACGACCTCATTGTCAAGCTGCCAGTGTAATTTGAAAAGCCACTGGTGAAGCATATTAGTAAGTGTTCATTATTGTATATAGATTATAAATTTCTTCACTTTTTTTTTTCAGATTATCCACAGGCCACAATAGTTAATATTCCATTTTTGTTCCTTTTAAATCCATTTATCAGAACAAAACACTTAAATTTTATCAATATTTCGACCCCCTTAACAACTTGTATTCCCTTGCCTTTTAATCCCAGAATCACCATTAACTCACTGACTAAGCAAGAATTAAGCTGGATTTTTAGTCAGACACTGAAAGCTGAGGTAGGTGGACTGCCATGGTCAAGTGAGTTTCATGATAAAGCACTTAGAAAGGTTTTATTTCATTCCCACTGTCTTTCCAACATACTAACAAAAGATTGAAATCTTGTTTCATAAATGAGGTAGCCTCTTATTTTATATCTGTCAAAAAAAAAATAGTACCATGGAGAATTTCCTTGAATGTATAGAGGCCAAGATGATTAATGTTTACTTTTTTTAAAATTAATTTTTTTTTGTGGCCATGCCAGGCGGCATGTGCAATCTTAGTTTCCGGACCAGGGATCGAACCCATGCCCCCTGCATTGGTGTGCGGAGTCTTAACCACCGGACCGCCACGGAAGTCCCCCAAAATTAATTTTTAAAAGGACAAGCTAAATAGACTACTATGTCCCATATATCAAGGTTTGGGTGATTCAAAGATGTGACAATGAATTGTTTCATGGGTCATAAGGAGTTATCTGATAAAATCCATATTTATCAGGAATTATGATTCTAAGTTATGTGCAGGTTTCATATTTAGCTATGGGCATTTGGCCCTTTATTCTTGAAAATTGTAGCCTATCACCTGTAGTATATTTATAAAACAAAGCATTAGTCTCTGCCAACAAATAAAGTGATAAAATATGGCTGCGGCTATCCCATTACAGCGAGCCTGGGAGCTGTGTGTGCCTGTTCTCCACCTTATTATTCTTTGCTCCTTCTTTGCCAGCTACAATGAAGTTTTCAGTTAGAAATTTCCCACAGAGTTTTAAATACTTATATAAATTATTCACATATTTAAAAACTATGGACTTAATTAGCTTATACTTTCCACTTGTATCTCTAGACTCTGGGAAGTTACTCTTAATACCATTCACCATAAAGTGTAACCCAGCCTAAGGCAGGTTCATTAGGAACTGCATCCCAGAGGCCCACGACATTCTAAGGCATCCTCCATGATGTGCTTTCAGGACTATGATTTAGCAAAACTTTAATGGAATATGAAAATCAAAGTTAAAAAGTGAGCTCTCTGAAAATATTTATATTAAGAACTTGACAGTCTTTTCTCTCAAAGCATTTACCTTAAACATTTAAAGTTTTATATGTTAGCACAAAAGATGACAATTATATGAACTTATTACCCCTCCCAGTTTTAATCATGTAATTAAAATTTTTTTCGGTGTATCATTAGAACTCTAAGTTGAAAGCTAAGAGCAAGCCATTCTCCAGGTTACACAAAATTGGATGGAGTTCCATCCTCTGAAATCATAGGGACTGGTAAGCAGTGCACCTAAGCAACCAGTAGCACTAAGCAAGGATATTAATGGACTTTTCAGCAGGTTTTTGAAGGATGTGGGGAATTAAAGGGAAAAATGATAAAGATAATATAAAAAGAGGCATACTAAAGGGTCTGAAAGTTTACCATCACCAGGAAGTCCTCAGAGGCACCCATGCTATAGGTTGCCTACCTCAAATCTCATACCACATTTTCTATTCAGTCTTATTTGATTTAACATCGAGTTATCTGGACATGGGACAGCTTACAAATAACAATAGCACAAATTAGAATGTCCTTAAATGCAGTTAAAAGGAGTATAATTACCAGAAGTAAACATGTTTACTTTACAACCAAGTGTACATTGACTTTAAAAGTGGGAAGTTGAAGCTAATAGAATTAAAGGGTTTTTTTTTCCATACTTGGGCAGAGCCCATGGGTCTGCAAACATGTATAAACAGATAATGCATGATCATGAAATGCAAATGAAGTCCTGTTTCTATTTATGAATAGAATTTGAAGCTTAATGCAAGCACGATGCAGTTTTCAGTGGAAATTACACATCTTGTAGTAGGGCTATAGACTAAGCATTACAACTGTGATCAAAGAGATTTATAAATTTTGAATATAGTATCAATAATCTGGGTGGTTTATTATTACTTAAATGGATGCATCCCAGCAATGTCTATTGCAATAAAATTTAACCAGAATGTTTCTGTAAGATCCTTGGGCATCTGTTATAATACCCAATCCAGCCTTCCTGTAAAGTTGCTCACCTTCTTATGCTATTGTTGGCCTCAAATGCCAGAACCTTTTAAATTTGAGTTCGCTTAGTCCTATCAGAATTAGGAGGATGAGATGAGAAAGTAGAGTTCTGTATCTATTCCTTTTTGGGGGTGGGGAGTGGGCAAGGAATAGCAACTTTATTCAGAAAGCCAGCCGAACAAGAAGACGGTGGACTCGTGTCCTGAGAACCATTGCGCCTGAGTTAGAATTCAGGCTTCTTTTATACTAAAAGGGGAGGGAGTAAAGTCAAACATTTCCTGGTTCTGTTCAGCCTCCAGAGGGGATGTTAATTTCTTCCTCCCTGCAGTCATTCACAGGTGGGCCTGGTCAGGATGGTTCCTGTGAGCTAAACAAAGGTATTTTATTTTATTTTAATTTTTTTTACAAAGAAAACATTTTTATTATATTTGAATTATAATGTGTGAATTTCTGCTGTACAGCAAAGTGACAGTTTGTATCTATTCTTTTAAACAAGTGTCTTGGATTGAACAAAAAAAAATGTAGGCCCATCAGGTCATTTTACTGCAATATTAACACTGTTCAGAAATTAGAAAGGATTTACTTTGAAAGATTAAAGTAATATTTCTTGGTCTAAAACAAATCTTTGTGAACATTAATATTTTTTATTTTCTTAGTATATATTTTAGACGTTTATAACTATTTGTACCAAACATATTACTAAATATGCATTTTATGGAATTTAGCATCTTACCTTTCATACTTTTTATCTTTATATTATTACAGCACAGAACTCCCCATAAGAGTCTATTTTAGTGGAGCCTTTTCAGTGTTATAGATCCTGTTTGATTCATTCCATTAGACTGAAAAGTAACATATGTATAATATTATACACAAACACAATATTCTGAGATCTAAGTTTTATTATAAATACTTGTCATGTTGCTCTTTTATCATGGAAAATAAGCAAGATCAAGTCTTTGAGTTTCAGATTATTACTTTTCTTCCCCTAAAATCAGCAACATTTTGGAGGTCTTTACAAAATAACTTTTCTATTTTAGATCTAGTCTTTCTATAAAATTGGGGGGTAGTCAGGAGTTTGTGCTGAAACTGCAGGAAAAATAAACATAATGGCAGGTTCGATGATTGTACTTAGTTGTATGGTTTTGCTGATTTCAAAAGCACTGATAATAATGAGGAAATAATGTTTTATATAACTGGGCATGACTAAATGAAGAAACTAATAATGTATTACATTATCATTTCTAAGTCATTTTGTAAAAGCTTAAATAAAATAAGAACATGAAAGGGCAGCATGGTCAAAATATAGATTTTTTTTTTTTAATGCAACAGAACCTTCCAAAAACCAAATTATCTAAGTCCCCTGAATATGAAATGTGGAAGAATTGGAAGTCGTAAGTTGCAGAGTGTCTCCAAGATCAAAATAATTTAAAGTTCTATTAGAAATAAATTCCGTATTTAGTATTTACACTTTGAACCTTCAAGGTTGCAGATGAGAAAGCTGATACTAAAAGGAAAAGTTATTGGGTTTTCTAGATGATGTTTAATTAACAGCCTCACTTTGCTCCTCCCCCTGCCTGCCCTCCTTTCCCATCAACAACTGCAAATTCATATGCTTTCCAGGCATCTCCATCCTCAGCTAGAGACAGGAATGGAAGGACTTTGCCTTTCACAAACGATTGAAGCTGAAAAGAGAAGTAGGGAGATAATAGGTTTCATTTCTCTCAGCACAGAGACTTTAGAAACAGGTGAATCCTCAGGTGCTTTATAAAAACAGCATTTTCCCATGTGAACAAGCTACATCTGAGGAAGATCTAATATACATATGTATTTAGGATTTAAATATGCTTTGCACATTATTAACTTAAAGACCTAAATAAGAAAGAAAAATGTACTAAAATACAATTTCAGGGATGAGGGACGTGTTCTGATGTTTTTTAGATATGGGTCATGTCATGACTTCGGTTTTAATTTTAAGTCTTTGAAACTCAAATAGCCTTCTTATATTTGTCTGTGTATAAAAATATTTTTAAAAATACAGGCAATGTTAAAGGGGAACACAATAGGATAAGTACATATGAATGCAAATTTCTGTCAGAAAGTTTTACCGATTTGAGCAATTCTTTCTATCAGAAATAGATATTTTCTTCACAAAGATGTTTTTTTCCCATTTGTGCCTAAAACTGCAACTTGATAACATGCACTAGGACCTGATATTTAAACAAAGTCTTACTGAGCAACAAATCAGAAGTCAGAAAGATTCTAACTTAAAATGCCAGAGTATCTTTCAATTCTTCTATTTTACTTTATTGTTACAATTTAAACAAATTCAGAAATCTGGGGTGTTTCTGGCTACTTGAGTAAAACACACTGCAATTCCAAAGGGGAAAAATGTAAATGGAAGAAATGTCTGATTTCTGAACTGTTCTGCCCTTATGAACAGGATCCTGTTCATCCCACACCCTTGATTCTGAACACCTTGTCAGTACCTGCCCGAGAAGGTCCCTTGACACTGGAGCAAGTCAAAATAACTTACTTTCAAAGCTTATTTAAGAGCAGACGAGCAATTTTAACATAGACTTGAGATTTAAGTAGATCTGATATTATCTAGAATCCAGGCTTAAATTTTGTTTCCAAATAGCAGAAGAAATTAAAACAAAGATACCAAAACTAAAAACACCAAGTGAGACAACAAACAATATTTCCAGTCCTAACCAAACTGCAACCCTTTCAATATAGCTTGAGGTATTTTTAAATATTTGTATAAGCTAAATAGCGCTCACAGTTTCTGAAGTTACTTTTTACTGAGATAGCTTCATATTCTCATAATATTTGACTTTCAGACAGGTTTTCTTGTACATGAAATTGAGTCTGAGTCTCCGGCCTCAGACTCATGGAAATATTGGACAGCTATTCAGTGGCAAAAAATGATTCTTGTAGTAATAAGGGTTCTATTTCCCGATTATTGTGCTATTCCTAGGATGTGATTAAAAAAATAAGAAATTTGCAATTCATATAAAAGGAAAACTTGCTTAAACTTCTAAAAGCAAGTCCAGTCTGGTGGAGGTATATAAGACATTAAATAACAGAGTCAGATTCCTTCTTAAAGATTCCAGATGAGCTTGACAACAGAGAGTTCTGGTTCTCCAACATTTTCTCCATCTTTTCTCCTCCAGTGGTTTTATTGATCTCTCTTTGCTTCTTACTATGGATCCATGGGATAAAACAAAGGACAGCACCTCCAATAAGGGGAGGGATTCCAGCGAGGTAGAATGCCACATCATAGGAGCCCAGCTTGTCACGGAGTAACCCTGGGAAGGGAAAAAACTGTCACCAAGAGAGAACAAGTATGGCTCTTGGGGTCTCAGATTAGTCACTCTGGTGGCCTACTGCCAACCTAGTATCTTCATCTCAGCAGGCTAGTTCAAACATCTCAGATATCAGACATTTTTAAGGAAATGGGTCTGAAATATAAACCTTTTCTGATATGAGGAAGAAAAAGATCTCATTTCTTTAATCTTGCTGCAAGTCTGTGACGGGCTTTTGAGTTTTCCTACCAAGATATTACATGGAAAAAATATTTTCAACCAAGGTTTGGCTTTCTCAAAACCCTTCAGGGGCCATTTGGGATATTCTGACACATGGTGTAAAGGTCCCGTTTTAGCTGAAGGTGGACAGACCGTCAAGCTGAAACTTCTCTCATACACACAGACCTCAAAATGTCTACGTTTTAAACCTTTCTTGGGCCTGTTTATGAAATAACATGAAACTACTTAAAAGTATAATCCGGGCTTCCCTGGTGGCGCAGTGCTTGAGAGTCCGCCTGCCGATGCAGGAGACGCGGGTTCGTGCCCCGTTTCGGGAGGATCCCACATGCCGCGGAGCGGCTGGGCCCGTGAGCCATGGCCGCTGAGCCTGCGTGTCCGGAGCCTGTGCTCCGCAAATGGGAGAGGCCACAACAGTGAGAGGCCCGCATAACGCAAGAAAAAAAAAAAAAAAAAAAAAAAAGTATAATCCAAAATCATGAAAAATTATAAATCTAAGAGTCAGGATGAAAAAACTAGGTTGTTAAATACATTTTGGAAAGAAACTAAGGTTTGTCAGCACATGGGAAGAAAATATAAGAATATATGTGTGTGGTACTCTAATAGATCCTAGGGCTCTGCTTCTAAAAACTGTCAGAATACTCCTTATTTCTAATTTCTCTAACCAAATCCAGATTTTAAAAGTTATCTTAGTGTTTTAAACTTTTACTATATAACCTAAGTTATCTGAAATGTTCTAGGAACACATTGTACTGAATATCTGACTCTGCTAAGTAAACAGCTGAGGATTTGTTCAGGTAAGTACCAACATCAAAAAAAAAAAAAAAGAAAAAAAGAAAAAGGTGTACAGTCATTCCAAATGGAAACCTAAAATATACAACATATCTAAATATATGCTTTTCCTATCCCCTGAATCAGAACATTCCACATATAACTGAACCTTTCATCCTTATGAACATAAATTAATATGTTTGGTTGTAATACTATGATCCCTCAGAACCTCCTGCTGTTCTTCTGCCTGCTTTGAAAGTTTCCTGTTAACTCCTTCATTCTTGATCTGTTATAGTCACTTCTAGTAGCAAACACCATTTCTACAAAAGTGCTGCTTGTAATTTGCTGTGGACTTGGAAACCCTAACAAACTAAGCTTGTAAGATGTAAAAATAGTGTATTACCTGGGGGAGAAGGGAAGGACTGGAGGGTTTTCCCTAAAAGGAGACTGTGATCTTGAGAACTTATCTTTTATTTGGTCTGCTCAGTAGAGGTTCTGCTTGCTTGATACATGACTAGATTCCCAACTGGCAAATTTACTGATATGTGTGGTTCTGAATATGAGAATGAATTGAACTGAACTTTCACTGAGCCACTCAGGTACCAGACACAGATGATAGTACATACATTTAAATTTAATAATTTTATCAAATCTTATAATAATTTACAGTGGCACCCAACTAATACTGAACGTGAAACATCTTTATACTATCATTCAGAAGATTTCTAAAGGTGAAATTCACATAACATAAAATTAACCGTTTTAATGGCATTTAGTATACTAACAATGTTGTACAACCACCACCTCTCTCTAGTTCCAAAATATTTTCATCACACCAAAAGAAAACTCCACACCCATTATGCAGTTACTCCCTAATCACCCTTCCCTCCATCCCCTGGCAACCACCAATCTGTTCTCTGTCTCTATGGATTTACCTATTCTGGATATTTCACAGAAACAGAATCATATAATATGGGACCTTTTGTATTTGGCTTCTTTCACTTAGCACATGTTTGAGGTTCATCTGCCTGGTAGCATGTATCAGTACAGCACTTCATTCCTTTTTATGGCTGAATAATACTCTGCGATATGGATATACCACATTTTATTTATCCATTCATCTGCTGACGGACATTTGGGTTGTTTCTACTAAGTGTTATTTTTCATTAACTACTTCTCAGGGGGCTATGATCTCTTACACAAAGCATACATATTTAGAAATCTTTCAGAATCTTCACCTCTTCCTAAAAAGAAATCACACTGCTATTCCTCCAAAACACATACTAAGTGAAATATAGGAACTCTGAAAGCTCAAAGTCCAGAACCTAACTGCTACACATTTCACTGAGTGTTTTAGATATCAATAAGAATAAGAGTACTCATCGGCAAATTTTTCCAACATGCCATCTACAGCTGGTCTTATTAAAAATGTTATAGATAAGGCACATACAAAGCAAGACACCAGAAACCAATAAATCATAATATATTTAACATATAAGTGAGACTTAGGACCTACAGTAGAAAATGCTATGAATTAATATAATTTACCTGCAATGGGTGGGCCCACAGTCATGGGTATAGACATGAATCCGAGTAGAAATCCAATTGCTTGTGAGACATCCTGGGCACCAACTAACTCAAAGGCAATGGGGGCCATAATGGAAATGAAGCATCCATCGAAGAGACCCATGATGAGACAGACAGCAATGAGGGCCCCAAAGACGCTGCACAGGGGAATCATCATGGACATCAGACCAATGAAGAAAAAGGACAGGACCTAGGACAGACACCACAATGTCAACTCTGCTCTCGGGAAAAGTGAACGTCACGATTACTGAGCAACAGGCTTAGGACTTTTAAGTGGTTACTGGTCAGTCGCCTCCTCAGCCCAGTTTGCCTTGATTTTATATATATACATAATCAACTCCCATAATCATCTCCCCCAAGTTCCCCCAGCACTTTCTCAATATTTCCATTAAGGGACAAGAAGAAAGTAAGGATTTTTTTTTTAATAAATTTATTTATTTTTATTTTATTTTTGGCTGCATTGGGTCTTCACTGCTGCACAGGCATTCTCTAGTTGCAGCGAGCGGGGGCTACTCTTCATTGCGGAGCGTGGGCTTCTCATGCAGTGGCTTCTTTTGTTGCAGAGCACGGGCTCTAGGCACGCGGGCTTCAGTAGTTGTGGCATGCAGGCTCAGTAGTTGTGGCTCATGGGCTCTAGAGTGCAGGCTCAGTAGTTGTGGCACACGGGCTCAGCTGCTCCATGGCATATGGGATCTTCCCGGACCAGGGCTCAAACCCGTGTCCCCTGCATCAGCAGGCGGATTCTTAACCACTGCACCACCAGGGAAGCCCTATATAATCCAGTTTTATTTACAGTGTAAATCAATGACTATTATTGCCAAAGAATATTTTCAAACATTGTCTTTTGATGCTAAGTCATAGATATACCCTATTTAAGCACCCCAGAGTTAAGGTTGAGAAATATTTTGCACCACTGAACACTTTCATTTTAGCGTTAGAGTAATTAATAGAATCAAACACTTGATTTTCCCTGCCATTTGGTAGCTACTGTGCTATGTTCTGTGTACCGTGCTATGTGAATAACACCTGGTTCCTACCCTTGGGTTGTGGGGAGATGACCATGTAAATAAATAAATGCACAGGAAGTGTTCTAGATGTTGCTGTAGTTGTATATTCAAAGTACGGTGGGTACAAAAAAGGAAGGAGTGGCCAATTCAATAGCTTTTTTAGGCAAAGAACTAATTAAAATTGGATCATTCACTCATTCGTGGAAGAAATGTTTTAAAAAGAATCAGCTTTTTAAAAAAGTATTTATATAATAGCAACTATTAGTTATTTAATGTTTATGAAATGCCAGACATTTTTCTAAGGACTTTAGATCGTGATTCTCATAACAATCTTATGAGATGGGTACTAATGTTTTCCCCGTTTTACAGATGAAGAGAATGATGCTGGGAGGTTTAGTAACCCTGGATAGAGCCAGCCTGGAACCCATGGTCTGCCTGGGCAGTAGGTAGCAGGGAACGATGGAACAATTTCTAGAGGGTACCCTCTGATGACAGTGGGGCTGGGGAGGAAGGTAGAGGCCACATAAAGCAGCCATCTGGATCACCGTCTTCATCTGCTCTGTTTTTCCCAGGACCCACTAGGCACGTCTAAGGCATACCAAGCTTGGTTGCACACCTCAGGGCAGCCCCTCACAACCTTAGTGCACATCAAGATCACCTGAGGAACAGGGATCTGGGAATGGTGATTTTCACAAGCTCCCCAGGTGACTTTGACACAAGTTGTCCACTGACCCCACAATAAGAAACATACTCTTGAAAAAGGTTTTAAACTCCAGGTTGGTTGCTTTTTGACAACAACATATTATATAGCTGAATCAATTTTTCTTCTTCATTATTAAAATATAGCTTTATGGTAGAATTATAATTAGTTTAAGACTCTGAGTTGGCTATTTGAAAAATAAGTCTGGCACTTCACATTTTCTAAAGAACATAATCTCCCATTCTGATTTTCTATGTTCTACTTAAACATCTTTTTCTCCAATCCAATTTCCCTCAAAGCGTAAGCATAATTTCTTAGTGGTGGGTAATTACTGGGTTTGCAGCCTATAGACTGGAAAGAACTAATAAGGCTCAGAGGGACAGACCGGGTTCTAGCTTTCTGTGACCTCGATAAAAAGACTCCCTGATGCTGCCCATCTACACAAAAAGAGATTTAAAGATAAATCAGAATGTACAAAGTGGGCTGAAACTAGCAAGTAAGTAAAGATTTGAGTTATTTTTATTGAAAAACTAATAAGGAAAAATCCTAATATTATTAATTAGATACATTTTTAGTCTATCTACAAACACAAAAGGAGATAAATACTTGAATCTTAGAAATGTATCTATCATTACAAATTCCAGAGAACCTGGAGTAAAATGTTAGGACATCACGGGGCCAGATGGAATGGGTTTAACTGGTAAAGCTACATACCAAATATTCCCAACCACACAACTGTAGTTCTACTAGGTGAGCTTTCAATGTGCTTCCTATTCTTTTACTGTTTTGTTCAGAACAAATCTCTTCCAAGGTAAGACAACCAGAGTGACTGTTGAAAGCTTAGCCCAAAGTCATTTTTGCTCAATAAACAAATGTTTTCTTGGACCAATTTATGTAACATGAGACCGAGGCACTTATGGTAGTTATCCTGATCTTTCTATCCATTTTTGGCCCCTTCAACTTTTTGTTCTTTGGTCAGTTTTGTAAGAAATCATATAAGAGGGGCTTCCCTGGTGGCGCAGTGGTTAAGACTCTGCCTGCCAATGCAGGGGACATGGGTTCGAGCCCTGGTCCGGGAAGATCCCGCATGCCGCGGAGCAACTAAGCCCATGTGCCACAACTACCGAGCCTGCACTCTACAGCCCATGAGCCACAACTACTGAGCCCAAGTGCCACAACTACTGCAGCCCACCCACCTAGAGGCCCTGCTCTGCAACAAGAGAAGCCACCGCAATGAGAAGCCTGTGCACCGCAACAAAGAGTAGCCCCCACTCGCCGCAACTAGAGAAAGCCTGTGGGCAACAACGAAGACCCAACATAGCCAAAAATTAATTAATTAATTATTTTAAAAAAGGATTGCTAGTGTATAGATACACAAAGGATTTTTTTAAAAAAGAAATCATATAAGAGTTTCAAATTTATTATTATATATTTTGAGCATATTACTTCTTAATACTTTACCTGACTGCAAGTTATCCTTTTCTCAATTCAAATTATGTTCATTTATATTCTTTTTCAAGTATTTAAAACTGTTAAATTTTAATAACAATTGTTAAATAAAAATTATTAGTTGTTATTTAAAAGTAAAATTTATTGGTTTTTCTTTAAGAATTGAATTTATAGAAATTTACACACTTACTCTATAGCATTTCTCAGAAAATACCTAGCTACTTCTGCCTTATTTGTAGCTACAGTAGTGAGAAACACTGCTCTTTCTAAGCAGATGTAACTACCCCAAATGTAGCTAAATTAGGAGGTAAGCAGGCCAAGCTGGTGAGGACATACATATTGCCCACCTGCAGGGACATCCGAGCCACAAGGAGCACAGGCCAAGGTTTATTTAGCACACTGCGTGTAGGAGGTTCATCACTTCCCCAAACATCTACTGATCTGTAGACACGAGGCCCCAGTTTGAAAGGTGAATAAATTTAGTATTACATACAATCTTTTTTTCCGCCCCAAACTCAGTAGCTCTGGTTAGATTTAAATAAGAGATTCAGAGGTTCCTAATCCTCTTCTAGGCTCTGGCACTGACACTTAATAAGGCATTGACTGTTGAGATGTCTTCCTTGCTTTTGTTTCTTAAAACCATACAAGGAAATATCTTCTGTCATAATTGAACAGGCTCTAGAAGAATAACCCCCGGCTTAAGTTAGTTTATGTACCTAAGAACAAACAAACAAAGAAAAGGTGGGTTTTTTTGCTATTACTGTTCCCATTTCTGTCACAAAGAGAGCATTTTTAGAGAACTGTCGGGAAGTTTTGCTCAGGAATCTAAGTATATGACTGAAGAGGAAAAATGAGCTGCACCTGAATAGCAGAAGGCACTTTCGGAGGCAGGCGCACAACTGGCCACAGTTAGAATCAAGGGTTGCTCCTATAAATTTATTCACTATAAAGTTTCCAGACTTTCAGAGCCTCTGGCTAGGAACCCAGTAGTTGGCAGCAGAGATCTGCAGGTCCATCACACTAAAGGGAAGTGTTTAGGGAACAGCCAAGTGGCTGGCTCCTTCTAAAGCACACAGTTCTCTGGAAGTGCTTCACAGGGAGTCTGTTCAACTTTCCCCACGGCACGTGAGTACCACCATTTCTGCCTGGAGGGGGAAGTGGCCCCAGTGCCACAGCCCAGGCGAGAACAGAGAATTGTCGTCTGATTCCTTATTCAGGCCGGGGAACTACTATATATTTGGATACCATTTGAGAAATAGTTTATGTTTGGTAAAGCATGTACCTTTATCCCAGTGTATCTTCAGGAAAACACAAAATGCTAAAAGGGAACAAAAAGCAACAACAACAGCAACAACAAAAAAAAGAAAACTGGACAACGCTGATCAGTTCATTCTACTCCAACCAGAAGAGGAAGCTTACACAGGAAGTTGGATCCAAAAGTGATTAATTTTTCTAAATTACAAAAAAAGTTTCTGAATTTCAAAAGTAACTCATGAATACATTCTTGAAAAATTTCAAACCTTAGAAAAATATATAAAGTAATATATGAAAGTCTCCCTTCAACCCCCTCCCACCCTCAACCCATTCCCACCTTCCTCGTCAGGAATAACCGCTCAACAATTTGGTGAGCCTCCTAGACCTTTTCTGTGTACACACATGTTGTTTGGGTTTGTCTGCTTTACGTACATGGATATGACGTCCATATTTCAGTATGTCCATGGCACAGAGAAATCTGACACAATGGGAAAGTGATCTAAACCCAAAGTTTTTGATTCTGTCATTAGAGTTACAACTTCCAAACCTTTGAAAAAAACTTCCACACTTTTACAACAGTTACATATTAAACACACAAATCTGCAGTAATTTAATGGTGACTAGAAAGACAGGTCTGTGAAGTTAAGAAAGATGACTGAGAAGATACCAGGACACAGCCTTTCCTCTCCTAATAAAGTACTCCAGGAACCCTTGCAAAGATTTTCTTTAACCATCATTATTCTATATAATGCAGTTCGGTCATCTCTTTGCTCGGCATTTAGAATTGTTACGCTGAAAATACCTGGAACCCAGGACCCTGATGGAAGTTTAAATTCAGAACTCTTAAGCAGAAGTGTAAGATATATTCCTAAACTCTGTTACCTATAAGCAAAGATTCCCAAATCAGGATAACCAAGGTCTCCTTCTTGATACCTGTTCCAAACCAGGATCTGCCTCAGTATTTAATAGAACACTAAAACAATAAAAGCAAGGATCTATTAATGATCCACTCTGGGCCGGCACTTTAAATAAGCTGTCACCGGGACTTCCCTGGTGGCACAGTGGTTAAGAATCTGCCTGCCAGCACAGGGGATACGGGTTCGAGCCCTGGTCCAGGAAGATCCCACATGCCGCAGAGCAACTAAGCCTGTGCGCCACAACTACCTAGCCTGCGCTCTAGAGCCCGCGAGCCACAACTACTGAAGCCCGTGTGCCTAGAGCCCGTGCTCCACAACAAGAGAAGCCACCGCAATGAGAAGCCCACGCACTGCAACGAAGAGTAGCCCCCACTTGCCGCAACTAGAGAAAGCCTGTGTAGAGCAACGAAGACCCAACAGCCAAAAATAAATAAATAAATTTACATAAATAAATAAGCAAGCAAGCAAGCAAGCTGTCACCATGAGTCCTCACACAGCCCTCTGCCGGATCTAGAGACAAGTCATATCACACTCCAGAGCCTGTGCTTTTCTACTCTGAGGCCTCCCAAACCCAAGATGACTGTGCCCCAAAAGTAGAACATGTGGGAGGCTGTGAAGTGTGTTCTGGGCCCGGAGGCTACTCAGAACCAGTGTGATGGGGACAGAGAGGGAGGGGAACTGCCGTGGCCCCACCAGGCTGAGCTGTAACAGACGAAGGCAAGGAGCAGGCATGTCTGAGAAAACACAGCACCAACAAAAGGCAGGAGAGGAAGATAAGCAGCAGAAGCATTCCAACCCTTAAAGGCCGCCAAAGGGCGGACAGCCAGGCAGGGAGACAGGGAGAGAAGGAAGAATAAGCAAACAGGCAGAGCTGGAGTTGGTCGCAGCAGAGAAGAAAGAGCCAAGAATCAAAACCCACGCTGAATGTCTGGGAGCTGGGGCAGGGAAGCCAGGAAAAAGGAGGGACAGAGCAGGGTAGTAAGCCCAGCCGCCTGCGTGGGGTAGGCCTGCGTTGGCCCCTGTGCTGTCAGTGGCTCCCAGCAGCACAGGACACACTGAAGGCCACCTTTCTCCTCCATGGGCCTCCTTGGGCTGGACTGCAGTCATCTCGCCTGTGACTCAGCCCGTACTACCAGGTGCTACACACTGCACCACATTTGGATGAAAAAAATCAGATGCGACCTAAAAGAAGCCAGGCTGTGACTAACCTTTCATCCAATACGAAATTACTGATTCTTAACGCACTGCCGTGTAACTGCAGACCAAACATGGGACAAGCTAGGAAAGGCTATATTTTCTTTCATAAATCACATGAAATACTAACGTATGTGCCCCCAATATGTTGTAAGCGACCTGACTGCCCTGCCTGTAGGGGGAAACTTTCTAAAGTTATAGTTGTTCCGGAGTAAAGTGCTGATGTATAAAACATACCATGACTTCATCCATCACAGCACCTTAGTCTGGGCCCCAATCGCCTCTACCCGGAACACTGTATTGGCCTCCTAACTGGTCTCCCTCCCTCCAGCACTCCTGCTTCCCTCCCAGTAATACAGCCTCCACACACAGAGCGACCACAGCGACTTTAAAATGTAAAATCACGTCATTCCCCAAGAAAGACCTACTATGCTTCAAGTAAAATGTCTGCATCAGGAATTTCAAGGCCCTGTTTAATCTGGGCCCTCCTCTTCCCAACCTCTTCCCAGGCCACTCTCCCTGTCTTCTTGAGTTCCCATTCACTCCCAGCTTTCTCCTGCCTCAAGTCTGGCTCCAGGAACTCAGGGACCACGTCTGTCTTGTTTGTATCACCCCCACCAGGGTCTGGGCTGGTGCTTGGGGCACAATGGGCACTCCTTTTTGATTTTAAAAAATGAAAGGAAGCCAAAAGTCTGTAATACAACCAATTTCCATTAGAGGGCTCCCTTGACACTTGAGAACAAGACAATGTTCTGCTAAGTGTTCGACAGGGATATCCACAATTGGGTATTAATAAAAGGGGGAATGATCCTAACACAGTGAATATTTTAAAAAGTAGCACTCTACTAGCTGTCTGCACTTCCTTCTAGCTGTGTCACCAGACTCCTTCCTGCAGCTCTCTGCCTGGCCCTATACACAAACACCCACAGTGAGGTAGCTTCTCTGTTCTTCCATGTTGGCATCCATAAGTGGAAACAGCGACGGTACCTTCCTCAAAGGGCTGGGCAAGGAGGAAAGAAGATAATGTACGTACAGCATTCAGTTCATCGTCTGGCACATGGAAGTGCTCAGTAAATGGTGATGGCTATTACTTCAAATCAATTAAAGGCAATTTATCTGTAATAAATGTCTTTTCCAACCATGTCCTTCACCCAAGTTCTACCTTTCCTTCAAGGCCCTGCTCAGATACTGCCCCTCATCTCTACAGTGAATGGACGTGCTCAATCCCCAGTCCCAAGCCCCCCTTTTGTCTCTCCTTTACCTTCCTTCCACAGCCAAGCCCTTGACAAAGTTGCCTGTATTTCCATTTAATCAGCTGATCATGATCAGTCTTTTGCACCTGCCACTCCACTGAAACTCCCCTCTGTTGCTAAATCCAGTGAAAACCTATTAGTCTTTAATGTGCCTGCCCTCTCACTAGTTACTGACACTGCTGACCACTCCTGCCCCTGGAAACACTATGTGCCTCGCTTTTTTCCTACCAGGCTGGCCACTCCCTTTCGGTGTCCCCTGCACACGCTCTACTCACCCCATACAAGCCCACGAATGCCGAAGTCCCACAGGTCTCTTAGCCACGCTCTCCCACGAGCTCCAAACTCAACTTGGCTTTCCCACAAGCACTACAAACTTAACATGGCAAAAACAAACTCATCATCTTACTCTGTTCTACTGAATTACCGATCTTGATAAAACAGCAAAACCTTCCACTGTTACCTGAGCCACAAATCTCAGACCCAGCTTAGGTGGCTCCACTGAATTCTCATTTCCTGTATCCCTGTTTTACTCCCTGTTTGATCCCAACATCTCTGCCCTGGTTCCTCCTGCCTAGACTATTTCAATATTCTCCAACTAGTCCCTGTGCCTCCGCTTTTTTAAAAAAATAATAACAATAGCTTTATTGAAATATAAATTCACATACCAAAGAATTCACCCACCCATTTAAAGTGCACGATTCACCGCAGGTTTTAGTTTAACAACAAGATTGTACAACCATCACTACTGCCTAGTTTTAGGATATTTACAACACCCCAAAAGAAACCCCATACCCAGGAGCAGTCACTCCCCATACCCTCCTTCCCCCAGCCGCTAGCAACCACTAAGCTGCACTCTCTGTCTCTGGATCTGCCTATTCTGGACACTTCATATAAAGGGAACCACATGATATGTGGCCTTTTGTGACTGTCTGAACTCTTGCCCTTCCTCCTCTGTATTCCACCCTTCACAGTCACTAGGTTAAGCTTTATAAAATACAACTCATGTCGGGCTTCCCCGGTGGCGCAGTGGTTGAGAGTCTGCCTGCCGATGCAGGGGACAAGGGTTCGTGCCCCGATCGTGCCGCGGAGCGGCTGGGCCCGTGAGCCATGGCCGCGGAGCCTGCGCGTCCGGAGCCTGCGCGTCCGGAGCCTGCGCGTCCGGAGCCTGCGCGTCCGGAGCCTGTGCTCCGCAACGGGAGAGGCCACAACAGTGAGAGGCCCGCGTACCGGGAAAAAAAAAAAAATACAACTCATGTCATGTCACTCCCTTGCTTAAAATCCTTAACGGCTCCTGGTAGATTTCAGGATAGAGTTCAGCCTCTTCTGTGCTCATAAAGGCCGTTCCCAACTTGACTCCTGCCTATCCCTCAGCCAATCAATCTACTATTCTCTCTTTAGTCCATTCAAACATTGTTTCCCCGACCTAACATCTCTTTGCCCATGTGGCTTCCTCTGCTTCCAACAAACACCCTTTTCTGTCTTATCTATTTAACTATTACTCACCTCTTAACACTCCACCAGCCCAGGAAGCCTGCTCAGACCTCCTCTAGTGATTCAGATGCTTTGCGCCTATGTTTCCATGGCACCCATCTAGCATACCATTATTCCACTGTGCTGCAGCACTGCTTTATCTTTCTTCCCAGGAGACCATTAACTACTGAGCACACAGACCATATTTCATCTGTAGCATTTAGCACAGTGTCTGGCACGGAGGAGTCACTTAAATACTTGTCAAATAAGTGTCGACGTGATCTTGGAATAGCACACCCCACAATACCCAGGAGGCGATCTGCAGTAAAGAAACTCAGAAGACACGCACACCCCTGAATTTCACAGGGTATTGCAAAAGGCACGTGACTATGAGAACTATGCCAAAAAGAAATCATTCTTAGAAAAAACAATGGGCAAACACCATTTTGGTTTGGTGGAGTTCCATGACAAGACAAAGATTGTTGTTTGTTCGCCAATTTCTCATGTTGAAAACCCAAAACTCATAACTGATTTTGCCCTTGAAAAACTGCTTGTAAAAGTTAGGTTCTAGAAAATATTTCTCATTTTTACAGAAGAATTCAAGCAAATAAGTACATATAATGAGCCATTAGGTGATAAGGATAAATTTGCTGGAGGAAAAAAGGCTTATTAACAAAGTACCTGTAGATAAACTTTCTTCACACCAGGCACATAATCTGCGACCCGGCCAAAGAGCAGCCGTCCAACTCCTGAAGTGATGCCGATGCACATGAGAACCACCTCTTTATTTTTCTCATCTTGAAACCTTTCATTCACATGTTTCATCTGTAGACCAAAGAGATAGAAGCCACACTAAATATGGTAGGAAAACTGGACAAGTTTTGAAGCTTTGTACAAATGCCTTTGTGTCTCTACCATGTTATGGACTCTCATCCCCTTCCAAATTCAAATATTTATAGAATTTGCTCTGTAAAAAAAATTTATAAAATTTTTTATGAGAACACATGAAGAAAAGCTTACATGGTTTAGCTTGTTTATAAATGAAATAAGAATTTTTATAAGAGGGTTTAAAAAAATTTTAATAAAAAGTAACCAGCACACCCTTTATCAGTTACCACTGGGCCATGAGCTAAAGGAAGAGACCTTTGAACACACCGTGCCACCTTGTCCTCACAAGGTCACCCGAGGATCCAGCCATCATCTGCTCCCCTGAAAGGTAGTTTAAGGCTCAATTCTGGAGTTTCATCTCTCCTAGGAGGACCTGAACCAAACTGAAATAAGTTATACTGGAGCTTACAGGATAAAAGCATAAGGTTCTCTGCCTGAGGATTTGCCTATTTGTGTGGCATTAGAACAGATAAAAATAGAGTCAGTTTAACAGAAAGAAGAAAGACCTGGAGAGAGAATGTTTGCATTTAAGTCCTGGTTCCATTCCTTGCTAGACTTGTGGCCCTGGGTAAGTTGTTAACCTCTAGGGCCTCAGTCTCCTTGTCTGTAAACTGGAGACAGCAACAGTACTTCAAGAGGGTGCTTGTGAGGATTAAATATCTCTGTAAAGAACTTAGTGCCTGACACACAGTTAATAGTGATATTAATTTTAGCCTTTTTTTTTTAAAGGACCTTTTCCCTCAATTTACAGTCTACTTAGAATAGTGACCGCAAATCTACAACCCAACAGTGTTTTAAAAGGAGTGTGACTAGCAGGTGTTATAATGGGTGACAAAACCTGCGGCTCAGCACCCACTGCCTAACACAAGCTTTGCTCCCACGGCCCCTAAGTTCCATGCTTTCCACCTCTTGCTCAGCGCTTCCACATTCTCAGTGATCACCTATCTGTGCTCACAGCAAGGAGAAAAAGCATGTCTGTACTCCCACTACTTTCTCTGAAATCACTGAGCTATTATAACAAACAGTTGTTTCAAACAATCAGACTCACTGTCCCCTACACCAAACGCTGGCCTTAATTCTGAAAGCCTGCAAAGCAAATTTGCCGGAAAGCGCGATGGCCCAGCTGGTACCCTGCCGCACTTACCCCCTCACAGCCTGCCTCCCTCCGTTTCAGTCACCACCACTACTGCTGGCCCAGCTACCCAGGTTTAGAAACTGGACAACCATCCTAGATTACCCCCTCCCTCCCTTCAGATCCAGCAGTCACCACCCAGTTCTGATGATTTTACCTCCTAAATCTCTCAGACACTCTTCCTTTGGTCCATGTCCCCCCCAGTGTTTGAGTCTGGGTTATCATTTCTCACCTGGACCCCTACAACAGCCTTTAACGTGCTTCATGCTACAGCCCCCAACTCCTGAATCTCTAACCTGCATTCTCTGAGAGCACCTGATTAAGTTCAAAATTAAAAATAACACTGCTCTGCTATGACCCCACAGCCTTCAGGGTAAAGCTCAAACTCCTGGTTTGACCGATAAAGCCTCCCTACTTTGCTGCCGAGCCTCACCATGTCAGCACTGTGCTGTCCAGTACGGTAGGTGCTAGCCACGTGTGGGCTATCCAGCACTTGAAATGTGGCTAGTTTGAACTGAGATGTGCTTTAAGTGTAAAACACACAAAAAAATTTTTAGAAAACTTAGTGGAAAAAAACCCACAAAATATCTCAATAATTTTAAAATACCGATTCCATGTTAGAATAATATTTTGGCTATATTGGCTAAATAAAATATACTATGAAACTAATTTCATTTGTTTTTTGGTTTTTTTAAACATCTTTATTGGAGTATAATTGCTTTACAATGGTATGTTAGTTTCAGCTTCACAACAAAATGAATCAGTTATATATATACATATGTTCCCATATCTCTTCCCACTTGTGTCTCCCTCCCTCCCACCCTCCCTATCCCACTTTGGTAGTGTATATATGTCCATGCCACTCTCTCACTTTGTCACAGCTTACCCTTCCCCCTCCCCATATCCTCAAGTCCATTCTCTAGTAAGTCTGTGTCTTTATTCCTGTTTCACCCCTAGGTTCTTCATGACATTTTTTTTCTTAAATTCCATATATATGTGTTAGCATACAGTATTTGTCTCTCTCTTTCTGACTTACTTCACTCTGTATGACAGACTCTAGGTCTATCCACCTCATTACAAATAGTTCAATTTCGTTTCTTTTTATGGCTGAGTAATATTCCATTGTATATATGTGCCACATCTTCTTTATCCATTCATCTGATGATGGACACTTAGGTTGTTTCCATCTCCAGGCTATAGAGCCTGGAGATGGAATAGATGGAATAGAGCTGCAATGAACATTTTGGTACATGATTCTTTTTGAATTATGGTTTTCTCAGGGTATATGCCTAGTAGTGGGATTGCTGGGTCATGTGGTAGTTCTATTTGTAGTTTTTTAAGGAACCTCCATACTGTTCTCCACAGTGGCTGTATCAATTTACATTCCCACCAACAGTGCAAGAGGGTTCCCTTTTCTTCACACCCTCTCCACTTCATTTGTTTTTTTTAACTTTTAAAAATATGGCTACTAGAAAATTTAAAATTACATATGTGGCTTGCATTATATTTCTACTGAACAGTGCTGGTCTAAGAAATTCACTTGTGGTCACAAAGATAAAACAGCTATTGATAAAAGTGACCTCAAACTGGCTAATTCCTCCAAGTCCTTATCAGAGATGGATTCCAGCTCAATTCTGAAGAAAATGAATAACCTGATCTAAGGCAGGTGAGATAATAATTATGTGTATTCGTCAGCTTTATTTGGAATTTGAATCCAGACTCTGACGTATTAATCCACTTTAGGAAACACCCAAAGGATCTAGAATAACTTTTTAAGACATTCTTTGGTATTCAAATAAGACTGAATATGCTAGTCACTCTTTTGATGAAACTAAGAACACCTGCCTGCCAAATTGCTATTATCCTTTATTAGTGGTTTATTTTTTCCCCCTGCTCTACACTTTGTAATCCTTAAAAGAAACAATGAGGTGGAATGTTTTGGGTCTCTTGAAATAAGGTAAATTTGGTAAATTCAAATTACACTTAAGTGGAAACTTACTTCTTCAGCTATAAGCGTCATTATTTCATTGAATTTTATTATTGTTGTCATTGTTTAAGTAAAGCAAGAACTACAGCTTTTAATACCTCCTTCCCCACCCTCAGCCAAAATTTGCAAAATAAAGTTGAGGTTTATTTTGTTTTTGTTTTTTGGATTTTTGTCAGGAAGTAAGGGAATCTGGGTGATTGGAGAATGGAATCTAGGGATGCTGCATCTCTGGGTCCTAGAGAGCCTTTCTTGGTGAGGGAGTAGTACCCAGGAAAGCTGGCGTGTTCTACTTGCAGCCTGAGCCTCCCATGACTGCCACCTACTATTCTACGAATCCCTGCCCATCTCTCTATCCTCTGGAGACTGGCACACACAGCAGAAGGCATGAACGCTGGGCAAAACTGATTATTTCCAATAAAGAGTCACATGGAAAGGGACATGAAAATGTTTAACAGATGTTTCCGTATTTAACCTAACTTAATTAAACCGATGCAAAGCTTATATCAGAAGCCACTATCTACACAGGGGATAACGCCATTTTGTACGGCAGTGGTTTAAAGTGGACTTTATCCAAATGTGTAAGTGCCTTTAGGGAATTAGTCTTTTGTTTCTATTCTAAACATTTGTTTACTCCAGGGCTGCACACCTCTCAGGGATTACCAGAGCCTTGCTGACCTGACAGCTTGAACGCTGCCTGCTCCTGAAACATTTTCCATCATTCAAACAACTTTCGCTAACTACAGAAGCCATTTTTGGATTGTGTGAAACCCTATTTATTGTTTTGTTATCCAAAAATAACCAAGAACTTAAATCCCATAATATCTGCTCATTCTTTATCCACGGGTGAAAGAAAGACACACTAGCTCACAATTTACCCCCTTTCCTCCTAACCATCCCCACTTCAAGTAAATGGTGATTCAGCCTCTCTCTCTAGATGACATGTTTCTGACCAGCCAACTGAAGAGAGAAGTTCCTCCCCGCTCCCTAGGGCCCAGAGGCAGAGCCGTTTTTGAGAGGTCGAGGGCAGCAGCCTAAGAAAGTGACCCTCCTGCTGGATTGGTCTAGCCCTGGCTTCTCCCCTCTCTACCTCTTCCCTACAGGGAGCCTCAGTGCCAGACATCTGGAGACATCAGATAGTGTTCTTCCACTGAGATCCCAGGCTGAGTCCTCTGGCTGTCAGAGTCAACCATGAAGGAAGCTCAGTTTGGGGTGGCCACAGTACAAAACCAGGTCCAATACAGCTGACATAAGTGCATTAGAAACTCAAGCTTCTCCTTGACAAATGGTTTCACGACAGAAGATGGCCCAACAGAAGGGCATCCCAACTCACTTTACGGAAGCCCCTGAAATCCAGTGATGCTACGCATCTGCAAAACAAGGAGGTCACTGGTCCAAAAGGTCCAATAATTAGGGAATTCCCTGGCTGTCCAGTGGTTAGGACTTGGCACTTTCACTGTCGAGGGCCCGGGTTCAATCCCTGGTCAGGGAACTAAGATCCCACAAGCCGCACAGTGCAGCCAAAAAAAAAAAAAAAAGTCTAATAATTACTTATAGTTCTGTTTTCTAAGATTGTGTTATTTGGCCATGCCATGATGGTCATTAGCCTCACTGTCCTTCCACACACACAACTTTTTAAGGGGATGGGTGGTTTTTGTTTAAATTCTTTTATGTAACTTATTACATAAAAACATGACAAAACTTTGGTATATACAATTTAAACTACACATCTTTGGGGGTATAGTAGTTAAGAAAGAAGGGAAACTACAGGAGACGTAAAACAAAGATAACTTTATTTCTGACAGTGGACTTGTGGGAACA